ATGTTTATTTTTGAGGGAGTCAGAGCGGAGCAAGGGAGGGGCAGAGAGAGCGGGAGACACAGAATCCGAAGAGGCTTCGGGCTGCCCCCAATGCAGGACTCGAACCCACGAACCATGAGATCATGGCCTGAAGTGCGTCGCTTAACTGACTGAGCCACCTAGGCGTCCCAGAAATCCTGTTGTTCTTCAGGATCCAAGTATCATTTAATTTTATCTGATTTCCATGTTATGTGTAGATCACAAACTTTGCGATAGGATTTGGTCACCATTTACCAACCTGCCTTGATGTCACCTCTTCCACAGGCCATCAACCGCCATCATTAAGGTTTCAGTCCTCTAGAAATATTTGATGCACAACTATCCCTCAGAATGGGGTGGTAGTAAAACCCAACACTATATGGCCAAAGGCCTTGCTGTGAACTTCCTCACAAAGTCCAAGAAGCCCACTTGCTCTGGTTGTTTACAAGGAGCAGGGAGTGGCTCCACCTCCCAAGGTTTCAGTTTTAAGGAAATTTGCTGGAGGAGGCAGACTTCTACTGAAGTAGCAGGCTAGGAGGAATCACTACAGAGGATAAGAATAGAGAGGGGAGAAGAGCTCCACAGCACCCCACAAACCCCACTTTGGGTTCCAGTTTGTGTTTACCATTCTCCCAGCTTCTGCAGTCACACACACATCCATTCATTCAATCAATCTTTGCTGAGCACCTGAGGCTGGGGTTTCAGGGAAGAAAACAAACACCTCATTGTTGCTGACACTCCAGTGAGGAGAGACAACTAATAAGTAAACAGTAGAATGTTTGATTGTGGTGAGTGCTTTCAAGAATATAGCAGGGAAGCAGGGGTGGGGGAGGTGAATTTAAATAGGTAGGCAGGCAAGATGAAGCTGAAGAAGTTAAGGGAGCAAGTCAGGTAGAGAGATCTGTGGGGAGACATTTCATGCAGAGGGAGCAGCACATGCAAAGGCCCTGAGGCATAAGCATGACTGGAGCAGAATGTACTTGGAGAGTAATCAGAGAAGAGATCAGAGAGGTAACTGGGCCAGGTCTTCTGAGGCCTTGAGATCAGAAAGAGGACTTCAGTGTTCACTCTAAGTAGTATGGTAAGCATAGGAATATTTGGTTTGTTTAAGTAATCTCTACACCCAATGCAGAGCTTGAACTCATGGCCTTGAGATCAAGAGTTGCACATTCTACCACCTGAGCTGGCCAGGTGGGCATGGTAATGGTATGGTAAGCCATAGGAATATTTTGAGCTGGATCTGATTTTCATGGGAGCCAAACTTTTGTTTTCTCCAAAATAATTTCAAGGGAGCTGTTGGGAAAGACTAAGGAGTATCTCTCAGATAGTGACTGCTTTGCAGACACCACATTAGCAGAAGTTTTGTGCAGACACCTCTGTCTCAGGTTAGCTGTTCTAACTTCATAAGAGAGGTTTTCAGTCCTCAAATGACCAGCTGTTGGGAGGACAGGCCCTGACAAGTAGCGGGTAGGGTCAGGAATGCTAAATAGCCTTCAGTGACTTGCCAATCCTCAACTACCAGCTTTACCCTCTGGTGGTGGCTCTGGCTCATGCCCACCAAGGTCTGCATTCTAGCCACTGGGAAGGAGAATGGAGGGGAAAGTTCTGAGAGTGGTTTAAACAACCCAGGGGGATCCTGGAGACCCTTTCATGGGATTCTGATGTCATTACTATTTTTATAATACTAAGTTGTTATTAATTTTCTTTTCCACTCTCCTATTCTTATGAGCACAAAATGAAGGTTTCCAGAGGCTGACAGGTGATATTGCAACAGAATGAATGCAGAACCAACCCCCTTGGTTTAGGGGGAGGGTATCCAGGCTATGAGCAGACACTTTTTAGATACTAGCAGTAATGGCTTAGATGCATTTTATTGGTTTTCTTTCAGAATCCTACAAAAAGCAAAGTTAAAAACCAAGTCCCTGGCAAGAAAGTGAACACCTCCTCTTTCCCGAGACCCCCCACCTCTTCCCCTGTTCCCTAGCTGTGTCAGTACTAGTTTCATGGGCATGGAGGGCTTGCTACTTTCATCCCCCACCAAGTCCCAAAAGGGAAAAGACCTACCACCTAGCAACCCCCTGCCCCTCAGCCCCATCCCCCACATGTTGATCCTGGTTACAGAAAGCCAAGGTAAGAATTATTGCGATCCAGTAAGAGTTCTGAACCCCAGAAGGCCATGGCCAGGGCACAGTCCATGAAGAATGCTTCGTCCTCCTGCTCGGTGCCCCCTTGGAACCCTGTTGGGCCCAGTACCTGGGAGTAGAGAAAGAAATCAATGAAAACCCATCACCTTCAACCCAATTGCCCCAGGAACAAGAGAATCAAGGCTGACACAAGGCTGACAAGGTTGAGCAGGTTGTACGTAGCACAAAGATGCCCCATCTAAGCAGGCACCATTATCCTTATGGACATCATGTATAGGTCTTATGTTTATCACAGACATTTATTGTAAACAGGGCAAGCAGCCTCCCTGTCCCACATTCCTGCTGTTACCACCTCACTCCCAGAGGTCAGCTGCATACTCTCAGTCCAGGGAGAATCAGAGGTCAGGGCTTTATCCGGTAGCTGGTGCAGATAAATACAATCAGACTTGAAGGGGCAGCGGCCATTCCCCTGCATGAAGAACCGACATCGGATCTGGCTATGAGAGGACAGAAGGAGAGAAGACCATTACTTCAAGCCCTGTTGCCCCAGGAACAAGGAGCACTGAAGGCTGACGCGTAAGGCTGGGTAGGTTGTACGCAGCACAAAGGCACCACTTGTACGCAGTCACCACTGGCATCATAGTGTAGATTTTACATTTATTACAACTATTTTCCAGCAGATGGCAGTAAAGTGTCTTAAGGGGGGGGTGCCTTTCTCTAAGTCTCCACAAAGTTCATTTGGGCTACTGGGCATCTCTTTTCCTTCTTTGAACTAAGTTTCAACAATACCACCAAGAAAAGATAATCCTAAAACGTGTCTCTGTAACCAACTTAAAACAATGTCCTGTTCTGAGGAGTGGGCTTATGATTTGGTAATTGCTAGCTAATGAAATGAAATTGATGCCCTTTCTCTTCTTCCTCCTCCTATTTACTCAAACCTGGCGTCAGAACCCCCTCCATCTGGATAGCCTACAAAAACCCCACACGCAACCTATCTACATTTCCCATCAGCTTCTTTCTCTTCACCCTCATGGGACAGTGACAGTCCTGGGACCACCTATGCTGAAAGTATTAGGCCTCTTAAATCTTCCTTCTAACCTCATGGTCACTTGGCCACTTCCTCTCAATACCCCCCTTCCCCCATTCCTTCCAGTATGCACTAGGAGTGAGAATGCTTGGCTTCAAACCCCACTTTCTCACTTAAGTCATACAGACCATGCCTCAGTTTCTTCTTCTGCGCATGAGGATCTTAGGACGCCCTACTTCACAGAGTTTATAATGTGCAAAGTCTGTCATATATAATAAGCCCTTCATCTACATCATCTCCTATCCTAGCTGGGCCTGGGTGCTCCCTTTTGGCTTAGACAACTTCTAAAGACTCCCGACTGGTACCCCAGATGCCAATTATCTCCTCACTTTGACCTGTCTCTGCCTGGAGTGCTCTCACTTTTCTCCTCCAGAGGAGCCCCCTCCTCCAACCCACAGCTCAAATACTTCCTCCTCTGTGAGACTCACCCAAGAGCCCAAGAGCTTTTCCCCACTTTGTTGAGTCAGCTGTTATAGTTCACAGCAAAATCCGGTGCCTTCTCAGCAAGGTCGAATGTGTCACAGGTGGAGACAAGACCTTCTTTTTTGATCCCACCCTTTATCCAAATAGACTTTGCATATGTAGCATATAATAAGCCCTTTGGGAAGGTGAAATTAAGAACCTGGAATTGTAGTTAATTCCAGATCTGGATGTATGCCCACCCTCCACAAGAGATTAAAACCTACTGACTTTTTCCCTGTCTCCAAGGGCTGCCTTTTGGTCTCTTTCTCAGAGACCCCATGTTTTCAAAGATCATCTACACAAACAACATTCATATCAATTTATCTCCTTGCTTAAAAAAAAAATCAGAAGTAAAAGCCAAGGAGGGTTTCCCATTGCACTGAGAAAAACAGTTACCCTGCATTGACCTTGACCTTGAGCCAGGCTGGAAGGCTTGATCTGCTGTCTCGGTCACTCATCATTATTTATTGGGCTTTCTGGAATAGTGGAAATAGCTCACATCCTCGTCTGCCCTCTCTATCATTCTGAACTTCCGGGATTTGGGGGATCCCAGGCTGGGAACCACGGCTGAGCCAGAATGGAGCAGAGGCTGTCTTCTCCTCTTCCCTAACCTGGGTCATGGTCCCCCTGCCAGCCTCACCTGGTCCGAGCCTTGAAGTTCCTGATGAGTTGCTCCTTCTCAGCCCCCTCGCTCACCCAGAATTTGTGGGGGATGATGTAGCTGGAATGGACACGGCACTGGGGACAGGCCCTGCCGAGGCGGGAGTGGGAGAACAGTCACAAGCCCTCACCTCTCTGAAGTGTCTCCCTCCCTCCCTCCCAGGCTCCTCCTGACACTGACTTGATGACAGCCAGTGGGAAGTTCTGTTGGCTTTTCCGCCAGGTGCGCAGGCAGCCCAGGCAGTGGGCGTGGGTGCAGTTGGGTAGGATGCCGAAGATCCGCTCGGCCTCTGGCTTGTCCCACACCTTGTCCATGCAGATGCCACACACGACGTCCCGACTGTCCTGCTCCCTCTGCAGCCACACACAGGGTCAGGGCACATCCGTGTCCACCCCCTCCCCCAACGCATACACACTGCCATCCCCAATACAGCCCAGGGACCATATAGCCCTCCTCCAGCTGGCCCGGGCATCTCAGAGGTCCAGCATGGCATCCTCTGCCACTGCCCCTCCCCCGCTACCTGCTGCAGCTCCAGGCCCAGGCTCTGAAGTGGGGCCATGAGCTCCCGGACAGGGTCTGACTTAGGCTGAGGCTCCTGGGAGTAACAGTGATCGTCGTCAGCAGCTGTTGGGGAAAACTGGATCCATTCATTCATTTACTCATTCGTGTAACATCTGCTGAGTGTCTGCTGCACATAGAGCTCTATGGGCATGCAAAGTCTTGCCCCCAAGTAACTGGGAATCCAGTCAGAAGTGTAGGTCTCTAATACACCATTTACAGCTATCCTGTCCTATACAGCAGCCGCTGGCCACATGTGGCTATTGAGCACCTGAAATGCAACTACTCTGAACTGAGATTTTGAAGCTTAGTACCAGAAAAGACTCTAAAATATTCCATTAATAACTTTTTATGTTGATTACATGTTGGGATGATTTTGGATATATGTTTTTTGATATATTGGGTTAAATAAAATATAATATTAAAATTAAATTTCACCTGTTGCTTTTTACTTTTTGAATGTGGCTCCTAGAAAAATGTAAATTTCAGGGGCACCTGGGTGGCTCAGTCAGTTAAGCATCTGACTCTTGATTTCAGCTCAGGTCATGATCTCATGGTTTGTGAGTTTGAGCCCTGCATCAGGCTCTGAACTGACAGCACAGAGCCTGCTTGGGATCCTCTCTCTCTCTCTCTGCCTCTCCCTCTCTCTCAAAATAAACATTAAAAAAATTTTTAATGAAAAAATGTAGATTGCATATGTGAATTACAACCACTTTAGAAAACAGCTGGGCACGTCCTGAAAATATTAAACATGGAGTTACCATGCGACCCAGCAATTCTACTCCTAGGTATATAGCAAAGAAATGAGATACACGTCCACACAAAAACTTGTATACGTGCACGCTTACAGCAACATTATTCGTAATAGCCAAAAAACAAAACAACCCAAAGGTCCATCAACTGATGAATTAATAAAACAAAATGTAGTATTTTCATATAACAGAATAATTGCATTTGACCATAAAAAGGAATGAAGTACCGATTCGTGCTACAACATGGATGAACCCAGAAAATGTGATGCTAAGTCAAAGAAGCCAGACACGAAGGGCCATATAGTGGGATTCCATTTATATGAAGTGTCCAGAACAGGCAAATCCATAGAGACAGAAAGTAGACTGGTGGTTTCTAGGGGCAGGGAGGAGTGGGGGAGAGGGAGTGGTTGGCTCATGGGTTTCCTTTTGGGGTGGGGAAAATCTTCTAAAATTAGATAGTGGTAATGTTTGTAGAACTCCGAATATACTATATCAATTCTTTTTTTTTAATGTTTTATTTGAGAGAGAGAGAGAGAGAGAGCAAGCAGAGAAGGGGCAGAGAGAGAAGGAGGGAGAGAGAATCCCAAGCAGGCAGAGCCTGATGCAGGGCTCGATCCCACGAACTGTGATTATGACCTGAGCCAAGATCAAGAGTCGGTCGCTTAACCAACTGAGCCACCCAGGCATCCCTGAATATACTATATTACATTGGATTGTATACTTTAAACTGGTGAATTTGTGACTTATATCTCACTAAAGCTGTTAAATTATATAGGTGACTTGTGTTCCAGCTGGACAGCACTGAATTAGAATAATTTAAAAAATAACTGCTAACATTTAGTGTTTACTCTGTGCCAGGTACTGTGTGCTAAGCACATCACATTTATGAATTCACTGCACCCTCACAAGACCTGAGACAGGTACTGTTATCACTGAGGACACAGAGGTCCAGAGAGGTTAAGTGACTTATCCGAGCCCACACAGCTACTAAGTGGCAGAGCCAGCATTTGAGACTAGGTGGTTTGACTCCTCAGGCACCATGAAATTCTGCTTCTAGCACACAGACAACAACAGAGCTGGAAGTAAGCTTCCCTCTAGCTGGGAATCTTGAGGTGGGAAAGAGGTAAAAGGAGATATAAACCTTGCTCAGAGACAGCACAGGAACCCTGGTCTCAGATCCCACTTGTGCCCACCTGCAGGGCCCCTGATGACTCACATGATGGTGACGGGGACTTCCAGGAACTACCATCAACCTCCTCCGCCTTGCCGGCCAACCCCACCAGGCCAGGCTCCATACCCCAGCAGGCCCCCGGCCAGTCCCAACCCACAGCCACAGAGGGCAGGTAGGTGGGCTCGGAGCCCCTGCGGGTCAGCCCCAGCCGGGGTCTTGGCAGGGTGACACGTGGCTCCGAGTGGCGCCGGCCCCATTCCAGGTGGCCAGGGGGCTGAGGGTGCTGATAGCTGCAGTGGGAAAGAGAAGAGTGAGGAGACACGGCTAGATCCGCCAGGGCTCAGAGCTAGCTCAGCCCAGAAGTCGGAACTGAGAGGGGAGACGAGGCTTTGGGAAGATGCGTGGTCCATGAAGGGATGATCCTTCCTGTGTCCCCCACCCTATTCCTTATTTGAGGACAAGGGCTGCTTACCTGCATTGATCTCCGTGGAAGCAGAAGCCTCGCTGGAAGTATCTGCAGACCTGGGACACCTTTCTGTCTTGAGCGATGTAGCAGCTCAACCCCCAGCGACAGGCCCCTCGGGCGAATGTCCTAAGAGATTGTCTGAGTCATGCTCAACCTCGTTTTAGTTCCTGCCTTTGTAATCCTTAGAGAGAGAGGCTGTAGGATAGCTGAACACAGGATCTGGAGTTGGTCCTGTGTTCAAATCCTGCCCCTTCTAGGGAGCCCTGGGTGGGTAACTCAAACTTTCCTAAAGCTTAGTTTCCTCACCCTTAAAAAAAGAGGGCACCTGGGTGGCTTCATCAGTTAAGCATCTGACTCTTGATTTCAGCTCAGTTCGTGATTTCACAGTTCATGAGATTGAGCCCCGTGATGACAGCATGGAACCTGCTTGGGATTCTCTCTCTCTGCCTCTCCCCTGCCTGTGTTTCCTCTCTCTCTCTTTCAGAACAAACAAACAAACAAACAAAGTTAACAATGCCTCTTTGTTACCTCAGAGTTGTTGCAAAGTTTTTGTTTTTGTTTTTAACATTTATTCATTTTTGAGAGACAGAGACAGAGCATGAGCAGGGGAGGGGCAGAGAGAGAAGGAGACACAGAATCCGAAGCAGGCTCTAGGCTCTGAGCTGTCAGCACAGACCCCAAAATGGGACCTGAACCTACAGAGTGTGAGATCATGTCCTGAAGTCAGATGCTTCACTGACTGAGCCACCCAGGCACCCTGCGAGGGGTTTTTTTGTTTTGTTTTGTTTTTTAAGGTTTTGCACGAGGCACTTAGTGAGTGCTCAGTAAATCATAGTGATTACTATTCTGTCCTCCAAGTACAGAGTCTTGTAGGTTCTGGAATCAGAACTCTGGGTTCAAATTCTGCTACTAGGACCAGCTTCATGGGCATGGATATTTAGTCACACAGGGGCCCGACACTTGCTTTAATGATCTGCTGTTGCCCACCTGAAATGATTAAATTTTTTAACAAGGGCCGTGATGTTCATTTTGAATGGGGGCCCACAGATTACACAACCTGTTCTGCCTGATACTGCTACTTCTTGGTTGCTTGAGCTTGGACAACCTTTTTATGCCTCAGTTTCTTCACTTGTAAAATGGCGATAATATTTGTACCTATTTCATGAGGGATGTCAAATGTAAATGAGATAATATACGTAAGACACCTGGCCTATAGCAAGCCCTCAATAAAACAATAGCTGTTGTCTTCCTCATCATCACTATTACAGGGGCTTTTGAGGGTCAAGGTGGGAGATGGAGAAGGGAAGGAGGAGGCTGGGTTGGACAGGTGTTTGTTAAGAATCTACCACATGTTCAGGCCTGGGCCAGGGCTCTGGGACAGCGGTCCACTTTTGTCATGTGCTTCCTTGCCTGGAGGGCGAATGAGGCCACACATGAGGTGGCCAGGGCATCAGGGATGGGGACAGAGGCCTTATTCTAGTCCCAAGAGAACACAGATTGCCAACCCGAGCTAAGGGTCTGCCATAGACTGGTGGGCACCACTCCCTCAAGAATGTCCAGTGGTGAGAGGCCCCAGCAGAGAAGTAGGCCGAGGGAAAAAAAGATGGGCGACAGGACTTGTTGGTGAGGGTTCCAGATTGTGGGGCACGTGGTCCTTCATCCACAACGATGGTGTGGAACTCCTGGATGAGGAACCTGCCTATGGAGCTCCTGCTGAGGTGACAGAGCACACAACCAAGAAACCAGGGCCAGGACTAGCAGGAGGAGAGTGGGTGCTCACCTCAGACACAACATCTCAGGGGATGCCAAACAAACAAACAAACAAACAAACAAACAAACAAACAAAAAACCTCACCAATAAAAGAAATCATATTTTAAAGATCAAAATTAACGCAAAAAAAATCTACACTGGACAAATATCAAACTTTTAAACAAAGAGAGGGTTCAATGCCACACAAGCTATTTGCTTCCCCGGCCCTGCAAGGACACAAGTAACCAGGACAAACACAGACCGTGAAAAGGGCTCAGACAGAAACAAATGGCTGGCAAGGTGGGCACTCGACAGGGTGGTCAGGGAAGGCCTTTGAGTGTAACGGAAGATCACTAAACAGTACTTTTTGATGATAGTACTATGTAATTTTTGCCATTTAATTCAGAGGAAATGCAAAGAATTCAGTGCCCCAGCAGAACAAATCACCTTTCATTCCCATCCACTTATTTATGTGAACAAGATTTCATAGTGCTTCCATTTACAAAAACTGAAAATAGAAACTGATGTTGGGGCACCTGGGTCGGTCAGTCAGTTAAGCATCTGACTTCGACTCAGGTCATGATCTTGGGTTTGTGGGTTCAAGCCCCATATCGGGCTCTGTGCTGACAACTCAGAGCCTGGAGATTGCTTCAGATGCTGTGTCTCTCTCTCTCTCTCTCTGCTCCTCTCCTGTTCACACTCTCTCTCTCAAAAATAAATAAACATTTTAAAAATTAAAAAAAAAAAGAAATTGATGTTGAATGTTGGCTTATTCTAGCAATAAGTAATATTTATATCCATGGATACATGAGCTTTCTGGGGAGCAGAAAAAAAAAGCAACTGTTCCATCTACCTCAGGAGAAAATTTTCTAAAGAAAATTGTTTGTTATTTAGTAATTAACTGTTCAGGTTATTTGGATCAGTTGAGTACTACCAATAACTAAATCCAGCAAAAAAAATTAATTTTGTTTCACAAATATCTTTGTTGCAGAAACATAATATTGTGATCAGCAAAAGACAGCATCTGAGAATAAAAATATGTTAGGAGAAAATTTTGGGGGAAAGTGAAATGGAGGAGGCATGCAAGGAGAAAAGGGAATTATGTAAAACTCTAAGAGCCTGTATATATTTTTTTTCTCTTTTTTTTTCTTTTTCTTTTTTTTAGATGGATGACATTGGATGCATGGAAAGAAGAATGGACTTATTCACATCTAGCCACTTACCTGCCATTACTGGTCTGCCTACACAGCAAGTGTAGGACCCAAAGCAAGCAGGATTCAGATTTCTACCCAGAGCTACGGCCTGCCCCAGCCCAGTGCTCTGTGGTGCCTTATAATCATCCTCACTGCCTGGCTTGGTAAAAATGAGAAGCTGCTACAGGAAGACTGAGGGCAAGTTCTTGTGGGCTGAGGGCTTTGAACACATCCCTCAAAATCTTGCCTGAAGGGCCAGCCTTGGAGAGGAAAGATTCAGAAATGACAAAATGCATTTGATTTAGTGATGTAACTTGTCTCTAAAAACATCTTTTAAAAATAGCTTCTGGAATTTTTTAAAAAAGTAATTGTTTTATTTTAAAATGGGACTATTTGTAATACTTTAGAGATGATCATCTTTTGCAACAATTTACATTACCACGGAAACCAGTAGGTAACGTGAAGTGTGGAGGGGACATGCGGTTGTCCAAATTTCTTTTAGGAGGTTTGTGGAAGGTGCCTGGTCTGCTCTGTTTCTGCTCCCAGTTACCATGTCGGGGGAGTAAACATGAAAAGACTGGGTTGGGGTAAGGACCGGACCAGTAGGTGACAACCAAAGTTCAGCAGGGCTGGGGATGGGGGAGGTGGAAAAGAAGAGTCACCATGGAAGGGGGGTGATCCTAGAGCAAGAGCCAGTAACCCTCAGAGGAAGGGTTTTCAGGTCTCCTCTTCAACAATGGAAGCCTCCAGAAGGAGAGATGTGCTAGGAAAACTTTGCCTTTCCCTAAAGACCACCAATGAGGCCAACTTCCAGGACTGCCAAAACAGGGGCCACCAAACTAACTCCTGAGAGGCTCGGTGACAGGAGGTCTCCAAGCATGTCCCCGGGGGGCTCAGCCCCTTGGATGAGACACAAGGAAAGGGGCTAGGGGCTTTGTGATCAAAGCCACATTTGAGTAACTCTTCCTTCTATAGTTTCTTCAAGCCGTGTTGTGTATTGCTTACTGTATGTGAACGTATTAAAGGCTCTGGTGAGCCCCGCAAAGGAACCTATTTGATTTCACCCAGCATTGCTTAAACCTATTTTTATCGTTAATTGTTTAGGCCCTCCACCCCCACACTCTTAACGTACTGATGAAACACATTTTGTTTTTGGAAATGTCAAATTAGTTCATTGAATCCTCAAAACAAGCCTTAAAGTCAGGAGTCATTTTTTTTGTTTTGTTTTGTTTTCAAAAGCTGAGGCTCAGAGAAGTAAAGTAACTGGCCTGGGCCCCGGAACAAGAGCCAGGACCGTACAACCCAGGTGCCCTCATTCAGCCCAATCATCCTCTAAGCAAACAAGATTGACTTGTCAGGGGTGAGGTCCGCCGGCTTTGGGAAATTTCTCAAGTCAAGGTCTGAGGCCAAGGAGGAGGGACAGAGCAGCAGGAGATCATAGGTAATCCAGGCCTGGGGAGGCAGCCAAAGGGCCTTGGTGTTTGGGGTGCTGGAGCCTTGGACCCCTGAGTAGTGAGCCTGGGGAATCAGGACTGCACTGTGAGGGGGCTGGGTACAGGAGGAGGGACTGAGGAATTTAGGGTTGGGTAGGGTACAGGGGGAGGTGGAGCCTGCCAGATGAGCCCTCTGACTGGGGTTTTTAGAACTGAGGGCCCAAACTTAGTCTAGGCTGTCACCTTCCTGGCCCTGTCCAAAGCTCAGGAAGGAACAATTGATAATCTCCTTCAGTAAACATCTGTGCCTCCCTCTTGCTACCTAGTTGCCTTTCTTCCCAGCCTGGGAAAACCACTTCCCTCTGAGACCCTAAGATCTACAAGTATCCCATCCTTACCCAAATTTCAGTTCTCTCTGGGGGAACTGAGCTCTTCAAACTGTTGGTAAAATGAAGTTAGGCTAAGGTATGAATGTTTGAGCCAGCATGCCCCAGAGAATGACTCTCTAATGGTGTAATGTTCAACCTGATGTGTTTTCATTTAAATGTTTATGAACACCTGGCTTCATGCTAAGTTCTGGGGCTAGAGAAGTGACCAGGGCATTGGATCCCACCCACAGGGAGATACTTGGCATTCCTGGACAGAGAAACCTTTGCTGGGTGGAAGAGAAAGAAGGCAAGTGGGGAATACCTGTTCTAAATGATCAGACCCTGAGCTAGCCCTGACTCAGCTGTGCAGCCTTGGTGTGCCTTTTCTCCTCTCTGGTCTCAGTCTCCTCCTCTGGACAATGAGGGCATGGGAAATGATCTCTAGACCCTTCTAACATTGGGGTGGGGCAAGGAAACCCCTCCTCCCCCTGATGCACCCCAAATTCTTAGAGACTGGGCTTTCAAAGGCCAGGCCAAACCTCAAAGACTTTTCTCCCACCTTCCCCATGTACCCTGAGGCCCATACCCCTACCTGCATGGACGCTGGGAGTGGGGGCTGCTCTCTTTACCATGGCCGCTGCCATCTGACTCTGCGGGGTCCATTCCAGCTGTAGCCACTAGTGAACGTCAAGCAGGCCTGCCCCAATGCTCCTTTATCCCGCCCTCTCCAGGCCGGGCCCAAAGGAGGAGGGGCTCCACAGCCAGACCTGCCCCTTCCCTTGGCCCCAGGCCTGCAGGAAGGAGGGATGGAGGGCAGAGGCAGGATGGCTGGGAGGCTCTGGGGTTGAACTGCCCAGTCCAGGCTCCAGGATGTGGGTGGGGTGGGGCCCGAGGACCTTCAGGGATCCCTAGGTGATTACTGAAGGAAACTGGGGAACGGGTTAAAACTTTAAGGGTCCAGGAAGGCAGGATAACTTGGGGGGAGATATAAGGACCTGGGACCCAGGGCCAAAGTTCTCAGAGGCTCGAGTCTTGGGGCTGAGGAACTAACTTGTGGTATCTGAGGGAAGTTTATAATAGAGGAGGCCAGAGGGGGTCCTCCCCCAACTCCAGGCTACATAAACTCCACAGGTGGAGCTGAGGTTGGTGGAGAAATCAGAGGGTGGGCTGGGAGGCTTGGGAGCCTTCGGGAGATGGTGTGAGCCAGGCATGGGGTAGAGGGAGGCCTGTTCCAGAGGGGCCGTGTACTAGACAGATCCAAGAGACTCTGGGGACCTGCCTCCAAGACCAAGATGTTCTTTCTAGAAAAAGTCACCGTGGCCTGGTCTGTTTGCCATTGAAGCCAGTTTGCTATCCTGATTGTAAGAAATTAGAACAGTGTTGGTGCCTCAGAAAGGGCTACCATGAGAGGTGGCCAGGAGGGGGCTTGCCCAAGGCTTTATTCAAGGAGGACACTTCGAGTTGGATGATACTAAATCCGCCAAGCAGAGCTCCCTCTTGGGCAGCATAAAGCCCTGGTGTGTTCAAAAGCTTGTAGGGGGGGAGAGCAATGGGCTGGGCCCATTGAGGATGGGGAGATAGGGCAAGGGGGACCATGAGCTTTAAGAGTCTTTCCCTTCCCATTCTATTTCTTTTATTTTTTAAAGTAATCTCTACACCCAACGTGGGGCTTAGACTCACAACCCCAAGATCAAGAATTGCATGCTCCACTGACTGAGCCAGCCAGGCACCATCTGGTTCTATTTCTTTTTCTTTCTTTCTTTCTTTCTTTCTTTCTTTCTTTCTTTCTTTCTTTCTTTCTTTTTCTTTCTTTCTTTTTCTTTCTTTCTTTCTTTCTTTCTTTCTTTCTTTCTTTCTTTCTTTCTTCTTTCTTTCTTTCATGTTTGCTTGTTTTTGAGAGAGAGACAGAGAGAGAGAGAGAAAGAGAAAGTGGGAGTGGGGGAGGGGCAGAAGATCCAAAGCGGGCTCTGCTCTGACAGCAGTGAACCCAACATGGGGTTCAAATTCATGAACCATGAGATCATGACCTAAGCTGAAGTCGGACACCCAACTGACTGAGCCACCCAGGTGCCCCTGGTTCTATTTCTAATACCCCCTCAAGTCCCATCTAATACCCCCTTAACTCCTCCAGAGCCCCTGTTGTCTCCGCTAGACTGCACTGACCTGGGTGGAAGAGAAGTTTAAAAAGACCAAATGAGAGGAATTCACTTAAAAGTTAAAGCAGAGGGGCGCCTGGGTGGCTCAGTCGGTTGAGCATCTGACTCTTGATTTTGGCTCAGGTCGCAATCTCACGATTCATGGGTTCAGGCCCCACTGACAGTGCAGAGCCTGCTTGAGATTCTCTCTCTCCCTTCTCTCTGCCCCTTCCCCTGCTCTCTCACTCAACATAAATAAGTAAACACTTTTTATAAAGTTAAAGGAGAAGTTTTAAAATTAAATTTAAACAACTTCTTATATCTATCAGTAAATTGAGACCATAGACTGGGAAACCAATAATCTTGGACATCTTTGTTATTTCTTTTACTTTTGCTGGATCGAAATTATTTATAAGGCCACTGCTTTAACCACTGAGCTATGGAGCCCATTTTGGATCAAAATTATTATTTTTTTAATTTTAAGTTTTTATTTTAATTCCATTTAGTTAGCATACAATGCAATATTAGTTTCAGGTGTACAATATAATGATTCAACACTTCCGTAAGTCACTTGGTGCTCATCACAAGTGGCCTTCTTAATCTCCATCACCTGTTTCACCCATCCCCTCCCCCCCCACCTGCCCTCTGGTAACCGTCATTCTCTATAGTTAAAGAGTCTGTTTCTTGGTTTGTCTCTTTTTTTCTCTTTGTTCGTTTTGTTTCTTAAATTCCACATATGAGTGAGATGGTATGCTATTTGTCTTTCTCTGACTGACTTATTTTGCCTAACATATTCTCTAGTTTCATCCACATCATTGCAAATGGATCAAAATTATTTTTAAAACTTTGGGGGGGTGTGCCTGGGTAGCTTGGTCGGTTAAGCATCAACTCTTGATGTCTGCTCAGGTCATGATCTCAGGGTTCATGAGATTGAGCCCCGCATGGGGCTCTGAGCTAACAGTGAGGAGCCTGCTTGGGTTTCTCTCTCTCCTCTCTCTCTGCTCCTCTCCCACTCTCTTTCTTAAAATAAATAAACTTGAAAAATGTTTTATAGGTGCTGCCAATCTTCCCTCTATGGAGACTATGTCCATTTATACTCCT